CCACCAACACATCAGCAGCAGAGGCACCATCAGCCTCTCCAACAGCCTCAGCAACAGAGGCGGCTCCAGGTCACAGCCGTGGTGACTCTGCATTGGGTTTGGATTTGGTGGCACCGCCAGGGATGTGGCAGGGTGACACCGCGCTGGGATGTGACCTGTGGCACCCAGTGCCACCCGGTGCCACCACGGCCACGTCACCATGACAACATGATCCCACCGCCACCCAGTGCCCCCTCCCGGTGCCAGCACAAGGACACTGCCCCGGTGTCACCAAGTGTCACCCAGTGCCGTCACCCAGTGTCATCCAGTGCCACCACCCGGTGCCACCCCCCAGTGGCACCACAAGGACAATGTCCTGCTGCCACCCAGTGTCACCCAGTGTCACTCAGTGACACCACCCAGTGCCAGCACAAGGGCACTGCCCCGGTGTCACTCAGTACCACCCAGTGCCACCACCCAGTGCCACCATCCAGTGTCACTCAGTACCACCCAGTGCCACCATGCAGTGCCACCACCCAGTGCCATCACAAGGACACTGGCCCAGTGTCACCTTGTGTCACCCAGTGCCACCACCCAGTGCCACCATCCAGTGTCACTCAGTACCACCCAGTGCCACCACCCAGTGCCACCTCCCAGTGCCATCAGGAGGACGCTGCCTCAGTGTCACCTTGTGTCACCCAGTGCCACCACCCAGTGCCACCACAAGGACACTGCCCCAGTGTCATCCTGTGTCACTCTGTGTCACTCTGTGCCACCCAGTGCCAGCATGAGACATGGCCACGTGTCACCCAGTGCCACCACCCAGTGCCAGCATGAGGACATGGCCACGTGTCACCCAGTGCCACTCATTGCCACAAAATGCCACCCAGTGCCAGCATGAGACATGGCACGTGTCACCCAGTGCCACCACCCAGTGCCATCACAAGGACACTGGCCCTGTGTCACCCTGTGTCACCCTGTGTCACCCTGTGTCACCCAGTGCCAGCATGACGTCATGGCCAAGTGTCACCCTGTGCCACCACCCAGTGCCACCAAGTGCCACCCAGTGCCAGCATGAGGTCATGGACAAGTGTCACCCAGTGCCACCACCCAGTGCCACAAAGTGCCACCCAGTGCCAGCATGAGGCATGGCCACGTGTCACCCAGTGCCACCCAGTGCCACAAAGTGCCACCCAGTGCCAGCATGAGGCATGGCCACGTGTCACCCAGTGCCACCCAGTGCCACAAAGTGCCACCCAGTGCCAGCATGAGGCATGGCCACGTGTCACCCAGTGCCTCCGAGTGCCAGCATGAGGACTTGGCCACGTGTCACCCTTTGCCACCCATTGCCACTAAGTGCCACCCAGCGGCAGCATGAGGCATGGCCACGTGTCACCCAGCGCCCCCCAGCGCCCCCCAGCTGCCCCCAGCGCCACTGGGTGCCACGGCCGCGCGCCCACCTGCGGTGTAGATGTCGAAGTAGGTGGCCTTGTTGGCCACGTTGCCGCTGGGCTCGATGCCGGGGCCGCGTGCCGACACTTTGCTGGCGTCGCCGTGCGCCATGGCCACGTTCACCCCAAAGGGGCTCCCGGAGATGTTCTGCCCCCCAAACAGCACCGTCACCTGCGGGCGGAACCGGCGTCACACGGCGTGGGGGTGACAGCATGGGGACAAAATGGGGACACAGCGTGGGGACAGCTTGCGGACAGAATGGGAACACGGCATAGGGGTGACATGGGGACAGCATGGGGACACGGCGTGGGGGTGACATGGGGACACAGTACGGGGACAGAATGGGGACACGGCATGGGGATGACATGGGGACAGCATGGGGACAGCATGGGGATGACATGGGGACAGCATGGGGACACGGCATGGGGATGACATGGCGACAGCATGGGGACACAGCGTGGGGACAGAATGGAAACACGGCATGGGGACAGCATGGGGACGGCATGGGGACACGGCATGAGGATGATATGGGGACAGCATGGGGACATGGTGTGAGGACAGCATGGGGACACAGCATGGGGTTGACATGGAGACACAGCATGGGGACACGGCATGGCGAAAGAATGGGGATGGCATGGGGACACAGCATGGGGACAGCATGGGGATGGCATGGGGACACAGTATGGGGACACAGCATGGGGATGGCATGGGGATGGCATGGGGACACAGTATGGGGACAGAGCACGGGGACAGCTTGAGGACAGAATGGGGATACGGCATGGGGACAGCTTGGGGACATAGCATGGGGACAGAATGGGGACATAGCATGGGGACAGCTTGGAGTCACAGCACAGGGACACAACACGGGGACAGAATGGGGACACATCATGGGGACACAGCATGGGGACAAAGCACAGGGACAGAATGGGGATGGCATGGGGACACAGCATGGGGACTCAGCACAGGGACACAGTGAGACACGTGGGGACATCTCAAGGGCACAGTGACACACATGGGGACACCTCAGTGACACAATGACAGACATGGGGGCACCACAGTGACACAGGGACACATGTGGGGACAGCTCAGTGACACAGGGGCACACGTGGGCCACGCTGGTGTCACCCACCTTGTGCAGCCCCGCCACTTTGGGGACGTAGGTGACAGAGAAGCTTCTCTTCTCATCGTTGTTGGCCACCACCTGGGCCTGCGGTGAGAGCAGAGAGAGAGTGACAAGAGAATCAATGGGACCCAATGGGACCCAAAAGGACCAATGCGACTCACTGAGACTCATTACAACCCAAAAGGACCCAACGGGATGCACTGAGACTCAATACAACCCAACGGGACCCAACAGGACCCAACAGGACGCACTGAGACTCAAAATGACCCAACAGGACCCAATGGGACCCAGCGGGACGCACTGAGACTCAGTATGACCCAACGGGACCCAACGGGACACACTGAGACTCAATATGGCCCAAAAGGACCCAACGGGACACACTGAGACTCAATACGACCCAAGAGGACCCAACGGGATGCACTGAGACTCAATACGACCCAACGGGACCCAACGGGACCCAACGGGACCCAACGGGATGCACTGAGACTCAATACAACCCAAAAGGACCCAATGGGATGCACTGAGACTCAAAATGGTGCTCAGTAGGACCCAACAGGACCCACTGCAACCCAACAGGACCAAACAGGACCCCCCCAGTACTCAGCAGGAACCAACAGGACCCAACAGGACCTACTGGAGCTCAAACAGGACCTAACAGGACCTATTGGTGCTCAGTAGGACCCAACAGGACCCACTGTGACCCAACAGGACCCAACAGGACTCCCCTGATTCTCAGTAGGACCCAACAGGACCCCCTGTGACCCACTACTATTCAGCAGGACCCAACAGGACCCCCCCAACACTCAGCAGGACCCAACAGAACCCAACAGGACCTAGTGGTGCTCAAACAGGACCTAACAGGACCTATTGGTGCTCAGTAGGACCCAACAGGACCCAACAGGACCCAACAGGACCCCCCTGGTGCTCAGTAGGACCCAACAGGACCCAACAGGACCCAACAGAACCCAACAGGACCCACTGGTGCTCAAACAGGACCCAACAGGACCTATTGGTGCTCAGTAGGACCCAACAGGACCCAACAGGACCCACTGCAACCCAACAGGACCCAACAGGACTCCCCTGGTGCTCAGTAGGACCCAACAGGACCCAACAGGACCCACTGCGACCCAACAGGACCCAACAGGACCCCCCTGGTGCTCAGTAGGACCCAACAGGACCCAACAGGACCCAACAGGACCCAACAGGACCCAACAGGACCCACTACAACCCACTGTGACCCGACAGGACCCAGGGTGACCCCGCAGTGACCCCGCAGTGACCCCGCAGTGACCCCGCAGGCCCCACGGCGCCCCCCGTACCTCCTCGGTGTGTCCCTCGGGGTCCTGGATGTACACCAGCACCTCCCCGCTGCCCGCCTCCTGCGTCTCCACCGTGAAGCGAGCCGGCTGCAGCACCGTGTTGCCCTGCGGCTCCAGCCCTGCACACAGAGCCGGCACAGCCGTCACCCTGCTATCGCCTGCCAGGACCTGCCTCAGCGCTGCCCTGCTATTGCCCTGCCAGGACCTGCCTCAGCACGGCCCTGCTATCACCCTGGCAGGACCTGCCTCAGCGCAGCCCTGCTATCGCCCTGCCAGGACCTGCCTCAGCACGGCCCTGCTATCGCCCTGCCATGACCTGCCTGAGCACAGCCCTGCTATCGCCCTGCCAGGACCTGCCTCAGCACGGCCCTGCTATCGCCCTGCCAGGACCTGCCTCAGCACGGCTCTGCTATCGCCCTGCCAGGACCTGCCTCAGCACGGCTCTGCTATCGCCCTGCCAGGACCTGCCTCAGCGCAGCCCTGCTATCGCCCTGCCATGACCTGCCTCAGCACGGCCCTGCTATCGCCCTGCCAGGACCTGCCTCAGCACGGCCCTGCTATCGCCCTGCCAGGACCTGCCTCAGCACGGCCCTGCTATCGCCCTGCCAGGACCTGCTGTGTCATCATTGAACACAACCCTGCTATCGCCCTGCCAGGACCTGCCTCAGCATGGCCCTGCTATTGCCCTGCCAGGACCTGCTGTGTCATCATTGAACACAACCCTGCTATCGCCCTGCCAGGACCTGCCTCAGCACGGCCCTGCTATCACCCTGCCAGGACCTGCCTCAGCACGGCCCTGCTATCGCCCTGCCAGGACCTGCCTGAGCATGGCCCTGCTATCGCCCTGCCAGGACCTGCCTGAGCGCGGCTCTGCTATCGCCCTGCCAGGACCTGCCTCAGCATGGCCCTGTTATCGCCCTGCCAGGACCTGCCTGAGCGCGGCTCTGCTATCGCCCTGCCAGGACCTGCCTCAGCATGGCCCTGCTATTGCCCTGCCAGGACCTGCCTCAGCGCAGCCCTGCTATCGCCCTGCCAGGACCTGCCTCAGCACGGCCCTGCTATCGCCCTGCCAGGACCTGCTGTGTCATCATTGAACACAACCCTGCTATCGCCCTGCCAGGACCTGCCTCAGCGCTGCCCTGCTATCGCCCTGCCAGGACCTGCCTCAGCACGGCCCTGCTATCGCCCTGCCAGGACCTGCTGTGTCATCATTGAACACAACCCTGCTATCGCCCTGCCAGGACCTGCCTCAGCGCTGCCCTGCTATCGCCCTGCCAGGACCTGCTGTGTCATCATTGAACACAACCCTGCTATCGCCCTGCCAGGACCTGCCTCAGCGCTGCCCTGCTATCGCCCTGCCAGGACCTGCTGTGTCATCATTGAACACAACCCTGCTATCGCCCTGCCAGGACCTGCCTCAGCACAACCCTGCTATCGCCCTGCCAGGACCTGCCTCAGCACGGCCCTGCTATCGCCCTGCCAGGACCTGCCTCAGCACAGCCCTGCTATTGCCCTGCCAGGACCTGCCTCAGCACAGCCCTGCTATCGCCCTGCCAGGACCTGCCTCAGCACAGCCCTGCTATCGCCCTGCCAGGACCTGCCCAATGACCCCCATGCTCCCCATGCCCCCCACCCCCCTCCATCCCCAACGCCCCCCACTCTCCCCTCCATCCCCCCACACCCCCCCTCACCCCCCATCCCCTCCAGCTCCCCACCCCCCCTCCATTCCCCCTCCATCCCCCCACGCCTTCCCCCCCCTCCATCCCTGATGCCCCCCACTCTCCCCTCCATCCCCCCTCCATCCCCGATGCCCCCCACTCTCCCCCCACCCCCCTCCATCCCCCCACACCCCCCACCCTCATCCCCCCTCCATCCCCGATGCCCTCCACCCCCCCCTCCACCCCCCCACGCCTTCTCCCCCCTCCATCCCCAATGCCCCCCAATCTCCCCTCCACCCCCCCTCCATCCCCCCTCCACCCCCCCACGCCATCCCCCCCCTCCATCCTCGATGCCCTCCACCCCCCCTCCACCCCCGATGCCCCCCACTCTCCCTTCCATCCCCCCCTCCATCCCCTCCACCCCCCCACTCTCCCCTCCACCCCCCCTCCACCCCCGATGCCCCCCACTCTCCCTTCCATCCCCCCCTCCATCCCCTCCATCCCCCCACTCTCCCCTCCATCCCCCCTCCACCCCCCCACGCCTTCCCCCCCTCCACCCCCGATGCCCCCCACTCTCCCCTCCACCCCCCCACCACCCCTCCTCCATCCCCCCCCGCTCCCCACCCCCCCTCCACCCCCCCTCCATCCCCGATGCCCCCCACTCTCCCCTCCACCCCCCCCTCCATCCCCCCCACCCCCCCACTCTCCCCTCCACCCCCCCTCCATCCCCGATGCCCCCCTCCATCCCCTCCATCCCCTCCATCCCCCCACTCTCCCCACCCCCCCCCTCCACCCCCCCTCCATCCCCAATGCCCCCCACTCTCCCCTCCACCCCCCCTCCATCCCCCCTCCACCCCCCCACGCCTTCCCCCCCCTCCCCGATGCCCCCCACTCTCCCCTCCATCCCCCCACCCCCCTCCACCCCCCCTCCATCCCCAATGCCCCCCACTCTCCCCTCCACCCCCCCTCCACCCCCCCTCCATCCCCAATGCCCCCCACTCTCCCCTCCACCCCCCCTCCATCCCCTCCATCCCCCCACTCTCCCCTCCATCCCCCCCTCCATCCTCGATGCCCCCCACTCTCCCCTCCACCCCCCCTCCATCCCCCCCCACCCCCACCCCTCCACCCCCCCCCTCCATCCTCCCCCGCCCCCCGCCCCCCCCCGCTCCGTACCGGGCCCGTAGGCTCTCACGCACTCGGGCCGCAGCGCCCTGGGCCGCAGCGGGGCGCCGGGCTTCAGCTTGGCCTTGGGGAACTGCGAGAGGTACGTCATCACCGAGTGCTCGTCCACGTTCGGGTCCGCGATCTCCTCGGGGGCGATGACCTGCGGGGAGCCGCCTCAGCGCCGGCACCGCACCGCCGGGGGGACGGACGGACGGACGGGGGGACGGGGGGATGGGGACGGGCGGACACACGGACGGAGCCGGGACACTGACGGGAATGGAGCCCGGACAGAGACACGGACGGAGCCCGGACAGAGACGGGAATGGAGCCCGGACAGACACACGGACGGAGCCGGGACAGAGACGGGAATGGAGCCCGGACAGACACACGGACGGAGCCGGGACAGAGACGGGAATGGAGCCCGGACAGACACACGGACGGAGCCGGGACAGAGACGGGAATGGAGCCCGGACAGACACACGGACGGAGCCCGGACAGAGATGGGAATGGAGCCCGGACAGAGACATGGATGGAGCCCGGACAGACACACGGACGGAGCCCGGACAGACACACGGACGGAGCCCAGACAGACAAACGGACGGAGCACAGACAGAGACACGGATGGAGCCCGGACAGACATGGGAATGGAGCCCGGACGGACACATGGACGGAGCCTGGACAGACACATGGACAGATCACAGACAGACACACGGATGGAGCCCAGACAGAAACACGGATGGAGCCCGGACAGACACAGGGATGGATTCCATACAGACACACAGACGGAGCCTGGACAGACACACGGACAGAGCCCAGACAGACACAGGGACGGAGCCCAGACAGACACACGGACAGAGCCCAGACACACAGACAGAGCCCGGACAGGCACATGGACAGGGCCCAGACAGACACACAGACAGAGCCTGGACAGACACAGGGATGGAGCCCGGACAGAGACATGGACAGGGCCCAGACAGACACACGGACCAACCCCGGACAGACACACAGACAAATCCCATACAGACACACGGATGGAGCCCAGACAGACACACGGACAGATCCCATACAGACAGACGGACAGAATCCCATACAGACAGATGGACCGACCCCAGGCAGGCACACAGATGGACCCCACACACGGACAGAAAGACGGATCCCATACAGACATGCGGATGGATCCCATACATGGATACATGATACAACCCATAACCCCACAACCACCCCATAACCACCCCACAACCACCCCATAACCACCCCACAACCACCCCATAACCCCATAACCTCCCCATAACCCCATAACCCCCCCATAACCACCCCATAACCGCCCCATAACCGCCCCATAACCCCCCCATAACCTCCCCATAACCCCATAACCACCCCATAACCACCCCATAACCCCATAACCTCCCCATAACCACCCCACAACTGCCCCACAACTGCCCCATAACCCCCCCATAACCACCCCATAACCACCCCATAACCCCCCCATAACCACCCCATATCCACCCCATAACCTCCCCATAACCTCCCCATAACCTCCCCATAACCACACCACAACTGCCCCATAACAGCCCCATATCCACCCCATAACCCCCCCATAACCTCCCCATAACCCCATAACCCACCTGTGGGACCCCCAGCCAGTCGTCCGCCTGCTGCATGGCCTCACGCGCGTTCTGCACCGGCTGCGCCGGGTCCCAGCTCTGCCAGTCGGGGCACAGCCCTATGGGAAACCGCAGCGCCCCATTGAGACCCATTGAGACCCACAGCGCCCCATAGCGCCCCATTGAGACCCATTGAGACCCACAGTGCCCCATAGCGCCCCATAGCGCCCCATAGGTCCCAGCTCTGCCAGTCGGGGCACAGCCCTATGGGAAACCACGGTGCCCCATTGAGACCCATTGAGACCCACAGTGCCCCATAGCGCCCCATAGCGCCCCATAGGTCCCAGCTCTGCCAGTCGGGGCACAGCCCTATGGGAAACCATGGTGCCCCATTGAGATCCACAGCGCCCACAGCGCCCCATTGAGACCCATTGAGACCCACAGTGCCCCATAGCGCCCCACTGAGACCCACAGCACCCCATTGAGACCCATTGAGACCCACAGCGCCCCACAGCGCCCCATTGAGACCCACAACGCCCCATAGCGCCCCATTGAGACCCATTGAGACCCACAGTGCCCCACAGCGCCCCACTGAGACCCACAGAGCCCCATTGAGACCCACTGAGACCCACAGTGCCCCATAGCGCCCCATAGCGCCCCATAGGTCCCAGCTCTGCCAGTCGGGGCACAGCCCTATGGGAAACCGCAGCGCCCAATTGAGACCCACAGCGCCCCATAGTGCCCCACTGAGACCCACAGCGCCCCATTGAGACCCACAGCGTCCCACTGAGACCCACAGCACCCCATTGAGACCCACAGCGCCCCACTGAGACCCACAGCGCCCCACAGCGCCCCATAGCGCCCCATAGGTCCCAGCTCTGACACTCCGAGCACAGCCCTAGAGGAAACAGCAGCGCCCCATAGCGCCCCATTGAGCCCCATAGCGCTCCATAGCGCCCCACTGAGCCCCATAGCGCCCCATAGCGCTCCATGGAGCCCCACGGATCCCATCTCTCCCAGTCTGGGGTCCCCAATTCCCTCTCCCCACAGCCGCAATGTTCCATAACCTCCGCACCCCCCATCACCCCAATGCCCCCCATCACCCCATAAGGACCCCACAAGACCCCACAAGACCCCACAAAGACCCCACAACGCCCCCCAAGGACCCCATGAGGACCCCACAAGCCCCTTGCCCCACAAGCACCCCCAGGACCCCCAAGGACCCCCTACCAGGCGCACAGTTGTCCACCAGCGCCCCCAGCGCACGGCCCTCATCCCCATCACCCCATAACCCCCATCACCCCATAAGGACCCCACAAGGACCCCATAAGGACCCCATAAGGGCCCCATAACCCCCATCACCCCACAAGGACCCCATAAGGACCCCACAAGGACCCCATAAGGCCCCCCATGCCCCCCAGCCCCCCGTACCGGGCGCACAGTTGTCCACCAGCGCCCCCAGCGCCCTGCCCTCATCCCCATCACCCCATAACCCCCATCACCCCATAAGGACCCCATAAGGGCCCCATAACCCCCATCACCCCACAAGGACCCCATAAGCACCCCATAAGGACCCCACAAGGACCCCACAAGGACCCCATAAGGACCCCACAAGGACCCCACAAGGACCCCATAAGGACCCCATAAGGGCCCCATAACCCCCATCACCCCACAAGGACCCCACAAGGACCCCATAAGGAGCCCATAAGGAGCCCATAAGGACCCCATAACCCCCATCACCCCATAAGGACCCCACAAGGACCCCATAAGGGCCCCACAAGGACCCCATAAGGACCCCATAAGGGCCCCATAAGGGCCCCATAACCCCCATCACCCCATAAGGACCCCATAAGGACCCCATAAGGGCCCCATAACCCCCATCACCCCATAAGGACCCCATAAGGACCCCATAAGGGCCCCATAACCCCCATCACCCCATAAGGACCCCATAAGGACCCCATAAGGGCCCCATAACCCCCATCACCCCACAAGGACCCCATAAGGACCCCATAAGGGCCCCATAACCGCCATCACCCCATAAGGACCCCATAAGGACCCCATAAGGGCCCCATAACCCCCATCACCCCACAAGGACCCCATAAGGACCCCACAAGGACCCCATAAGGACCCCATAAGGCCCCCCATGCTCCCCAGCCCCCCGTACCGGGCGCACAGTTGTCCACCAGCGCCCCCAGCGCCCGGCCCTCATCCCCATCTCCCCATAACCCTCCATCACCCCATAAGGACCCCATAAGGACCCCACAAGGACCCCACAAGGACCCCATAAGGACCCCATAACCCCCATCACCCCACAAGGACCCCATAAGGACCCCACAAGGACCCCATAAGGACCCCCCATGCCCCCCAGCCCCCCGTACCCGGCGCACAGTTGTCCACCAGCGCCCCCAGCGCCCTGCCCTCATCCCCATCACCCCATAACCCCCATCACCCCATAAGGACCCCATAAGGACCCCATAAGGACCCCATAAGGGCCCCATAACCCCCATCACCCCATAAGGACCCCATAAGGACCCCATAACCCCCATCACCCCACAAGGACCCCATAAGGACCCCATAAGGGCCCCATAACCCCCATCACCCCACAAGGACCCCACAAGGACCCCACAAGGACCCCATAAGGACCCCATAAGGACCCCATAAGGACCCCATAGCCCCCATCACCCCATAAGGACCCCATAAGGACCCCATAAGGACCCCATAAGGACCCCATAACCCCCATCACCCCACAAGGACCCCATAAGGACCCCATAAGGACCCCACAAGGACACCATAAGGACCCCATAAGGACCCCATAAGGCCCCCCATGTCCTCCAGCCCCCCGTACCGGGCGCACAGTTCTCCACTAGCACCCCAAGTGCACAGCCCTCATCCCCATCACCCCATAACCCTCATCACCCCATAAGGACCCCATAAGGTCCCCATAAGGACCCCATAACCCCCATCACCCCATAAGGACCCCACAAGGACCCCATAAGGCCCCCCATGCCCCCCAGCCCCCCGTATCCGGCGCACAGTTGTCCACCAGCGCCCCCAGCGCCCTGCCCTCATCCCCATCACCCCATAACCCCCATCATCCCACAAGGACCCCACAAGGACCCCATAAGGACCCCATAACCCCCATCACCCCATAAGGACCCCACAAGGACCCCATAAGGACCCCATAACCGCCATCACCCCACAAGGACCCCATAAGGACCCCATAAGAGCCCCATAACCCCCATAACCCCACAAGGACCCCATAAGGACCCCATAAGGGCCCCATAACCCCCATCACCCCATAAGGACCCCATAAGGACCCCACAAGGACCCCATAACCCCCATTGACCCATAAGGACCCCATAAGGACCCCATAACCCCCATCACCCCACAAGGACCCCATAAGGACCCCATAAGGACCCCATAAGGACCCCACACGCTCCCCCATCCCCCCGTACCGGGCGCACAGTTGTCCACCAGCGCCCCCAGCGCCCTGCCCTCATCCCCATCACCCCATAACCCCCATCACCCCATAAGGGCCCCATAAGGACCCCATAAGGACCCCATAAGGACCCCATAACCCCCATCACCCCATAAGGACCCCATAAGGACCCCATAAGGACCCCATAACCCCCATCACCCCACAAGGACCCCATAAGGACCCCATAAGGACCCCATAACCCCCATCACCCCACAAGGACCCCATAAGGACCCCATAAGGACCCCATAAGGACCCCCCATGCCCCCCAGCCCCCCGTACCCGGCGCACAGTTGTCCACCAGCGCCCCCAGCGCCCTGCCCTCATCCCCATCACCCCATAACCCCCATCACCCCATAAGGACCCCATAAGGACCCCATAAGGACCCCATAAGGACCCCATAAGGACCCCATAAGGGCCCCATAACCCCCATCACCCCACAAGGACCCCACAAGGACCCCATAAGGACCCCACAAGGACCCCATAAGGGCCCCATAACCCCCATCACCCCACAAGGACCCCATAAGGACCCCATACCCCCCCCATGCCCCCCATCCCTCCATACCCGGCGCACAGTTGTCCACCAGCGCCCCCAGCACACGGCCCTCATCCCCATCACCCCATAACCCCCATCACCCCATAAGGACCCCACAAGGACCCCATAACCCCCATCACCCCATAAGGGCACCATAAGGACCCCATAAGGACCCCACAAGGACCCCATAACCCCCATCACCCCATAAGGCCCCCCATACCACCCCCCATGCCCCCCATCCCCCCGTACCCGGCGCACAGTTGTCCACCAGCGCCCCCAGCGCCCTGCCGTCGTTCCAGTCGCGGTTGAAGTTGGTGATGCGGAGCTGCGGCACGCGGTGCTGCACCCAGCCCAGGAGGCGCTGCTTGGGCGTCTGCTGCCGCGCCGCCTCGTCCTCCTCCTCCCACACGGGCAGCGAGATGGAGTAGTGCAGGATGAGCGTCCACACCAGGCCCAGGATCAGCTTCAGGTTGCCGTCCACGATGGCCTTGCTGTCTGCGGGGGGGAGTCGGCAAGGGGGTCAGAGCAGAGCTTATGGGGTCAGAGCTGCAGGTATGGGGTCAGAGCCGCGCTTATGGGGTCAGAGCAGCGCTTATGGGGTCAGAGCAGCGCTTATGGGGTCAGGGCTGCAGGTACGGGGTCAGAGCCGGAGGTATGGGGTGAGGGCTGCAGGTATGGGGTCAGAGCTGCAGGTATGGGGTCAGGGCTGCAGGTATGGGGTCAGAGCTGCAGGTATGGGGTCAGAGCAGAGCTTATGGGGTCAGAGCCGCGGGTATGGGGTCAGAGCAGCGCTTATGGGGTCAGGGCTGCAGGTATGGGGTCAGAGCAGAGCTTATGGGGTCAGAGCAGAGCTTATGGGGTCAGAGCTGCAGGTATGGGGTCAGAGCAGAGCTTATGGGGTCAGAGCAGAGCTTATGGGGTCAGAGCAGCGCTTATGGGGTCAGAGCTGCAGGTATGGGGTCAGAGCTGCAGGTATGGGGTCAGAGCAGAGCTTATGGGGTCAGAGCAGAGCTTATGGGGTCAGAGCAGCGCTTATGGGGTCAGAGCTGCAGGTATGGGGTCAGAGTTGCAGGTATGGGGTCAGAGCAGAGCTTATGGGGTCAGAGCAGAGCTTATGGGGTCAGAGCTGCAGGTATGGGGTCAGAGCTGCAGGTATGGGGTCAGAGCAGAGCTTATGGGGTCAGAGCAGCGCTTATGGGGTCAGAGCTGCAGGTATGGGGTCAGAGCTGCAGGTATGGGGTCAGAGCAGAGCTTATGGGGTCAGAGCAGAGCTTATGGGGTCAGAGCAGCGCTTATGGGGTCAGAGCTGCAGGTATGGGGTCAGAGTTGCAGGTATGGGGTCAGAGCAGAGCTTATGGGGTCAGAGCAGAGCTTATGGGGTCAGAGCCGCGCTTATGGGGTCAGAGCTGCAGGTATGGGGTCAGAGCTGCAGGTATGGGGTCAGAGCAGAGCTTATGGGGTCAGAGCAGAGCTTATGGGGTCAGAGCAGTGCTTATGGGGTCAGAGCTGCAGGTATGGGGTCAGAGCTGCAGGTATGGGGTCAGAGCAGAGCTTATGGGGTCAGAGCAGAGCTTATGGGGTCAGAGCAGCGCTTATGGGGTCAGAGCTGCAGGTATGGGGTCAGAGCTGCAGGTATGGGGTCAGAGCCACGCTTATGGGGTCAGAGCAGCGCTTATGGGGTCAGGGCTGCAGGTATGGGGTCAGAGCCACAGGTATGGGGTCAGGGCCGCAGGTATGGGGTCAGAGCCACAGGTATGGGGTCAGGGCCGCAGGTATGGGGTCAGAGCCACAGGTATGGGGTCAGAGCTGCAGGTATGGGGTCAGAGCCACGCTTATGGGGTCAGAGCAGCGCTTATGGGGTCAGGGCTGCAGGTATGGGGTCAGAGCCACAGGTATGGGGTCAGAGCTGCAGGTATGGGGTCAGAGCCGCGCTTATGGGGTCAGAGCAGCGCTTATGGGGTCAGGGCTGCAGGTATGGGGTCAGAGCCGCGCTTATGGGGTCAGAGCCACAGGTATGGGGTCAGAGCCGCGCTTATGGGGTCAGAGCCACAGGTATGGGGTCAGAGCAGCGCTTATGGGGTCAGAGCAGCGCTTATGGGGTCAGAGCCGCGCTTATGGGGTCAGAGCCACAGGTATGGGGTCAGAGCAGCGCTTATGGGGTCAGAGCAACAGATATGGGGTCAGAGCAGCACTTATGGGGCCACGGCAGCGCTTATGGGGTCAGAGCAGCGCTTATGGGGTCAGAGCTGCAGGTATGGGGCCAGAGCCACAGGTATGGGGTCAGAGCAGCGCTTATGGGGTCAGAGTCACAGGTATGGGGTCAGAGCAGCGCTTATGGGGTCAGAGGAGCGCTTATGGGGTCAGAGCCACAGGTATGGGGTCAGAGCAGCGCTTATGGGGTCAGAGCCACAGGTATGGGGTCAGAGCCGCGCTTATGGGGGCACAGAGTCGCTTATGGGGGCACAGAGTCGCTTACGGGGTCAGAGCAGCGCTTATGGGGTCAGAGCAGCGCTTATGGGGGCACAGAGTCACTTATGGGGTCAGAGCAGCGCTTATGGGGGCACAGAGTCGCTTATGGGGGCACAGAGTCGCTTATGGGGTCAGAGCAGCACTTATGGGGTCAGGGCTGCAGGTATGGGGTCAGAGCAGCGCTTATGGGGTCAGAGCCACAGGTATGGGGTCAGAGCAGCGCTTATGGGGTCAGATCAACAGATATGGGATCAGAACAGCGCTTATGGGGTCAGAGCAACAGATATGGGGTCAGAGCAGTGCTTATGGGGTCAGAGCAACAGATATGGGGTCAGAGCAGCGTTATGGGGTCAGAGCAGCACTTATGGGGTCAGAGCAACAGATATGGGGTCAGGGCTGCAGGTATGGGGTCAGAGCAGTGCTTATGGGGTCAGAGCAGCGCTTCTGGGGTCAGAGCAACAGATATGGAGTCACAGAGTCACTTATGGGGTCAGGGTGTCGCTTATGGGGTCAGGGCTGCAGGTATGGGGTCAGAGCAGCGCTTATGGGGTCAGAGCTGCACTTATGGGGTCAGAGCTGCACTTATGGGGTCAGAGCAGCGCTTATGGGGTCAGAGCAGCGCTTATGGGGTCAGAGCCATAGAGGACACAGCACCCCCCCCTGCTCACCCACCGATGGACACCAGCTTCATCCCCTCCAGGAACTCCAGCATCACCCCATGCCCCACAGCACAGCCCCATAGCACAGCACCCAGCCCCATAGCACTGCCCCATAGCACAGCACCCAGCCCCATAGCACAGCCCCATAGCACAGCACCCAGCCCCATAGCACAGCCCCATAGCACAGCTCCATAGCACAACACCCAGCCCCATAGCACAGCCCCATAGCACAGCCCCATAGCACAGCACCCAGCCCCATAGCACAGCCCCATAGCACAGCCCCATAGCACAGCACCCAGCCCCATAGCACAGCCCCATAGCACAGCCCCATAGCACTGCCCCACAGCACAGCCCCATAGCACAGCCCCATAGCACAGCACCCAGCCCCATAGCACAGCCCCATAGCACAGCCCATAGCACAGCACACAGCACAGCCCCATAGCACAGCCCCATAGCACAGCACCCAGCCCCATAGCACAGCCCCATAGCACAGCCCCATAGCACAGCCCATAGCACAGCCCCACAGCACAGCCCCATAGCACAGCCCATAGCACAGCCCCACAGCACAGCCCCATAGCACAGCACCCAGCCCCATAGCACAGCCCCACAGCACAGCCCCATAGCACAGCCCATAGCACAGCCCCACAGCACAGCCCCATAGCACAGCACCCAGCCCCATAGCACAGCACACAGCACAGCCCCATAGCACAGCACCCAGTCCCATAGCACAGCCCATAGCACAGCCCCATAGCACAGCACCCAGCCCCACATCCCAGCCCCACGTCCCTCACCCACCGATGGACACCAGCTTGATCCTCTCCAGGAACTCCAGCATCACCTCATGCCCCCATAGCACAGCACCCAGCCCCATAGCACACCCCACAGCCCCATAACACACCCCATAGCACACCCCACAGCCCCATAGCACACCCCACAGCCCCATAGCACACCCCATAGCACAGCACCCAGCCCCATAACACACCCCATAGCACAGCACCCAGCCCCATAGCACACCCCACAGCCCCATAGCACAGCCCACAGCCCCATAACACACCCCATAGCACACCCCACAGCCCCATAGCACACCCCATAGCACAGCACCCAGCACCCATAGCACAGCACCCAGCCCCATAGCACAGCCCACAGCCCCATAACACACCCCATAGCGCACCCCACAGCCCCATAGCACACCCCATAGCACAGCACCCAGCCCCATAACACACCCCATAGCACAGCACCCAGCCCCATAGCACAGCACCCAGCCCCACATCCCAGCCCCACGTCCCTCACCCACCGATGGACACCAGCTTGATCCTCTCCAGGAACTCCAGCATCACCCCATGCCCCATAGCACAGCACCCAGCCCCATAGCACAGCACCCAGCCCCATAGCACAGCACACAGCCCCATAGCACAGCCCCATAGCACAGCACCCAGCCCCATAGCACAGCACACAGCCCCATAGCACAGCCCCATAGCACAGCACCCAGCCCCATAGCACAGCACACAGCCCCATAAGACACCCCATAGCACAGCACCCAGCCCCATAGCACAGCCCCATAGCACACCCCACAGCCCCATAGCACAGCACCCAGCCCCATAGCACACCCCACAGCCCCATAAGACACCCCATAGCACAGCACCCAGCCCCATAGCACAGCCCCATAGCACACCCCACAGCCCCATAGCACAGCACACAGCCCCATAGCACAGCCCATAGCACAGCACCCAGCCCCACATCCCAGCCCCACGTCCCTCACCCACCGATGGACACCAGCTTGATCCTCTCCCTCTCCAGGAACTCCAGCATCACCCCATGCCCCATAGCACAGCACCCAGCCCCATAGCACAGCCCATAGCACGGCCCAATAGCACAGCCCCATAACACACCCCATAGCACACCCCATAGCACAGCACCCAGCCCCATAGCACAGCACCCAGCCCCATAGCACAGCACCCAGCCCCACATCCCAGCCCCACATCCCTCACCCACCGATGGACACCAGCTTGATCCTCTCCCTCTCCAGGAACTCCAGCATCACCCCATGCCCCATAGCACAGCACCCAGCCCCATAGCACACCCCACAGCCCCATAGCACACCCCACAGCCCCATAACACACCCCATAGCACAGCACCCAGCCCCATAGCACACCCCATAGCACAGCACCCAGCCCCACATCCCGGCCCCACGTCCGTCACCCACCGATGGACACCAGCTTGATCCTCTCCCTCTCCAGGAACTCCAGCATCACCCCATGCCCCATAGCACAGCACCCAGCCCCATAGCACAGCACCCAGCCCCATAGCACAGCACCCAGCCCCATAGCACAGCCCCATAGCACAGCACCCAGCCCCACATCCCGGCCCCACATCCCTCACCCACCGATGGACACCAGCTTGATCCTCTCCCTCTCCAGGAACTCCAGCGCCACCGAGACGTTCTCCAGCTTCATCTGGCGGAAGTTGGGCCTGGGGTGGTGCTTCCTGCCCATCTTCTTCTGGCTCAGCACCTCCAGCAGGGCGATGAGGCGCAGGCCGTCGCCCAGGTCCCTCTGCAGGTCCCCGATGCTCTTGTTGACGCACTTGAGGTGCTCGTTGCACCACCGCGTGAACGTGTTCTGCTGGATCTTCTTCCACGGCGCGTCCTCCGCCAGCTCCTTCTCCGCCGCCGGCAGCTCCTCCGCCTCCTCGGCCGGCGCCGCGTCTTCGTAGCCCGACGAGTTCATGGCTGCGGCCCCGGGGGCTCCGCTGCTGCCCTTGGTGGCTCTGCGGGGGGCCTTGGTGGCCTTGGTGGCTCTTGAGTCGCCTTTGGTGGCTCTTGAGTTGGGCTTCGGTGGCCTTGGTGGCTCTGGAGTTGGCTTTGGTGGCTCTACAGGTGGCCTTGGTGGCTTTGGTGGCTCTCAAGTTGCCTTTGGGGGCTCTCGAGTTGGGCCTTGGTGGCCTTGGTGGCTCTTAAGTTGGGCTTTGGTGGCCTTGGTGGCACTTGAGTTGGGTTTTGGTGGCCTTGGTGGCTCTCGAGTCGCCTTTGATGGCTCTACAGGTGGCCTTGGTGGCCTTGGTGGCTCTGGAGTCGGCTTTGGTGGCTCTACAGGTGGCCTTGGTGGCTCTTGTGTTGGGCTTTGGTGGCCTTGGTGGCTCTCGAGTCGCCTTTGATGGCTCTACAGGTGGCCTTGGTGGCCTTGGTGGCTCTTGAGTTGGCTTTGGTGGCTCTAGAGTTGGGCCTTGGTGGCTTTCGAGTTGGCTTTGGTGGCTCTTGAGTTGGGCTTCAGTGGCTTTGGTGGCACTTGAGTTGGGCTTTGGTGGCCTTGGTGGCTCTCGAGTTGGGCTTCAGTGGCCTTGGTGGCTCTCCAGTCGCCTTTGGTGGCTCTACAGGTGGCCTTGGTGGCCTTGGTGGCACTTGAGTTGGCCTTGGTGGCTTTCGAGTTGGGCTTTGGTGGCCTTGGTGGCTCTTAAGTTGGGCTTTGGTGGCCTTGGTGGCACTTGAGTTGGCTTTGGTGGCCTTGGTGGCTCTTGAGTTGCCTTTGGTGGCTCTAGAGTTGGGCTTCAGTGGCCTTGGTGGCTCTCGAGTTGGGCTTCGGTGGCCTTGGTGGCTCTTGAGTTGGCTTTGGTGGCTCTACAGGTGGCCTTGGTGGCCTTGGTGGCTCTCGAGTTGGCTTTGGTGGCCTTGGTGGCTCTCCAGTCGGCTTTGGTGGCTCTACAGCTGGCCTTCGGTGGCCTTGGTGGCACTTGAGTTGGCTTTGGTGGCCCTGAGGACTCTCGAGTCGCCTTTGGGGGCTCTACACGTGGCCTTAGGGGTCTTCGGTGGCTTTGGTGGCTCTACAGGTGGCCTTGGTGGCCTTGGTGGCTCTGCGGGGGGCCTTGGTGGCCTTGGTGGCTCTCGAGTCACCTTTGGGGGCTCTACAGGTGGCCTTAGAGGTCTTTGGTGGCCCTGGTGGCTCTATGGGGCGACTCTATGGGGTGCCGCTATGGGGAGGCTCTATGGGGCAGCTCTATGGGGTGCTGCTATGGGGTGGTGCTGTAGGGTGGCTCTATGGGGTGCCGCTATGGGGTGGTGCTGTAGGGTGGCTCTACGGGGTGCCGCTATGGGGCAGTTCTATGGGGTGCCGCTATGGGGCGGCTCTATGGGGCAGTTCTATGGGGTGCTGCTATGGAGCAGCTCTATGGGGTGCCGCTATGGGGCGGCTCTATGGGGTGCTGTAGGGCAGCTCTATGGGGTGCCGCTATGGGGCAGCTCTATGGGGCAGCTCTATGGGGAGGCTCTATTGGGCAGCTCTATGGGGCGGCTCTATGGGGTGCCGCTATGGGGCAGTTCTATGGGGTGCCGCTATGGGGCGGCTCTATGGGGCAGTTCTATGGGGTGCTGCTATGGAGCAGCTCTATGGGGTGCCGCTATGGGGTGGCTCTATGGGGTGCCGCTATGGGGCAGCTCTATGGGGCAGCTCTATGGGGTGCCGCTATGGGGCGGCTCTATGGGGGGCTCTATGGGGTGCCGCTATGGGGCAGCTCTATGGGGCGGCTCTATGGGGTGCCGCTATGGGGCGGCTCTATGGGGCGCCACCGAGGAATCCCGGTGCCGGAGGCCAACGCCCGCGGGGTTGGGGGGCAGCGAGGGGGGGTCGCACAGCCAACGATGCCAACAATGCCAGCAATGCCGGCTCCCTGCGCCCAGCTGGGCTCCGATTCCAGCCCGGATCCCGGCGCCGGGCGCTCGATCCCGGCACGGCTCCCGGTTCCGACCCTGTTAGCGGAGCTCCGAGCCCGGTTCCGACCCTATTAACGGCGCTCCGATCCCGGTTCCGACCCTATTAACGGAGCTCCGAGCCCGGCACGGCTCCCGGTTCCGATCCTATTAATTAACGGCGCTCCGATCCCGGCACGGCTCCCGGTTCCGATCCTATTAACGGCGCTCCGATCCCGGTTCCGATCCTATTAGCGGAGCTCCGATCCCGGTTCCGACCCTATTAACGGCGCTCCGATCCCGGTTCCGATCCTATTAGCGGAGCTCCGATCCCTGTTCCGATCCTATTAGCGGAGCTCCGATCCCTGTTCCGATCCTATTAACGGAGCTCCGATCCCGGTTCCGATCCTATTAACGGCGCTCCGATCCCGGTTCCGACCCTATTAGCGGAGCTCCGATCCCGGTTCCGATCCTATTAACGGAGCTCCGGTCCCGGTTCCGATCCTATTAATTAACGGCGCTCCGATCCCAGCTCCCGGTTCCGATCCCGTTACCGACGCCGCAGTCCCGCTCCGATCCCGATCTCACTCCCAGCTCTCCGATCCCGGTTCGGATCGCGGTCCGATCCCAATAGCGGTGCCGCGATCCCGCTTTCAGCGCTCCGACCTCTGCCCGGATCCCGGACCCGGTCCGGATCCGGATCCCACTTCCAGCGCTCCGATCCCGGTCTCACTTCCAGCACTCCGATCCCGATCCCGGCTCTCCGATCCCGGTCGGGATCCGGATCCCGCTTTCACAACTCCGATCCCGGTTCTCCGATCCCGGATCCCGATCAGCCGCTCTCCAATCCCGGTTCCGGTCCGGCTCCCGATCCTCCGCTCTCCCTGCCGGTTCTCCGATCCGAACCCCAACTGCCGTCGCTCCGCTCCCGGTTCCGCTGCCCCCCGGCTCCCGCTCCGCTTCCCGGTGCCGCTGTGGCTCCGCTCGCCCCCCCCCCCCAATTCGGGGCCGTTTTAAGGGCGCGGAGCCGCCCGGCCCCCCCCGGGGCCGCCCCCAATGACTGCATGGGGGGGCGGGGATGGGGGGGAATTGGGGGGGGGGGGGGAAGAAGGGGGGGGCGGGGTCCCAAAATGGAGCCGGGATCCGGAACGGAGCGCGAGGGGGGGGGGGGAGGAGGGGAGAAGCGGCCCGAAAAGGAGAGGAGCGCGGAAAGGGCCGCGCCGGAACGGGAGGGAGAACAGAGTGGGAGCCCAGAAACAGGGACCCGAAAAGTGGGACCCCAAAGTGGGAGCCCAAAGTGGGAACCCAAAGTGGGACCTAAAAGTGGGACCCCGAAGTGGGAACCCAAAGTGGGACCCCAAAGTGGGAGCCCAAAGTGGGACCTAAAAGTGGGATCCCAAAAAGTGGGAGCCCAAAAAGTGGGAGCCCAAAAAGAGGGAGCCCAAAAAGAGGGAGCCCAAGTGGGACCTAAAAGTGGGACCTCAAAGTGGGACCCCAAAGTGGGACCCCAAAGTGGACCTAAAAGTGGGACCCCAAAGTGGGACCTAAAAGTGGGACCTAAAAGTGGGACCCCAAAGTGGGACCTAAAAGTGGGACCTAAAAGTGGGACCTAAAAGTGGGACCCCAAAGTGGGACCCCAAAGTGGACCTAAAAGTGGGACCTAAAAGTGGGAGCCCAAAGTGGGACCCCAAAGTGGGACCTAAAAGTGGGACCTAAAAGTGGGAGCCCAAAGTGGGACCCCAAAGTGGACCTAAAAGTGGGAGCCCAAAGTGGGACCTAAAAGTGGGATCCTAAAAGTGGGAGCTCAAAAAATGGGATCCCGAAGTGGGACCCCAAGGAGAGGGACCTCAAAGTGGGGCCTAAAAGTGGGATCCCAAAGTGGGATCCCAAAAAGAGGGACCCCAAAAAGTGGGAGCCCAAAGTGGGACCTAAAAGAGGGACCCCAAAATGGGACCCCAAGAAGAGAAACCCCAAAAGTGGGATCCCAAAGTGGGACCCCAAGGAGAGGGACTCCAAAAAGTGGGACCCCAAAGTGGGACCCCAAAAGGGGGACCTGAAAAGTGGGACCCCAAAGTGGGAACCCAGAAAGAGGGACCCCAAAGTGGGACCCCAAGGAGAGGGACCCCAAAAAGTGGGACCCCAAAGTGGGACCTAAAAGTGGGACCCCAAAGAGGGACCCCAAAGTGGGACCCCAAGGAGAGGGACCCCAAAAAGTGGGACCCCAAAGTGAGACCTGAAAGTGGGACCCCAAAAGTGGGACCCCAAAAAGTGGGACCCCAAAGTGGGACCTAAAAGTGGGACCCCAAAGAGGGACCCCAAAGTGGGACCCCAAGGAGAGGGACCCCAAAAAGTAGGACCCCAAAGAGGGAGCCCAAGAAGAGAAACCCCAAAAGTGGGACCCCCAAAGTGGGAGCCCAAGGAGAGGGACCCCAAAAGAGGGACCCCAAAAGGGGGACCCGAAAAGTGGGACCCCAAAGTGGGAGCTCAAAGTGGGACCTCAAAAGGGGGACCCCAAAGGGTGACCCCAAAAAGTCGGACCCCCAAAGAGAGCGACCCCAAAAACTGGGACCCCAAAAAGTGGGACTGCAAAAGTGGGACCCCAAAGAGTCGGACCCCAAGGGACAGGGATCCCAAAAAGAGGGACCCCAAAGAATGGGACCCCAAAAAGAACGACCCCAAAAAGTGGGACCCCAAAGAGTGGGACCCCAAAGAGTGGGAACCCAAAAAGTGGGACCCCAAAAAGAACGACCCCAAAAAGTGGGACCCCAAAACCTGTGGGACCCCAAAATTATGGGACCCACAAACAATGGCTCCGCAAAACTGCGACCCCAAAAAATGGGACCCCAAAAGTGGGACCCCATAACAATGGGACCCCACAACAATGGGACCCCAGAATTGTGGTCCTATAACTATGGGACCCCATAACAATGGGACCCCAAAACTGTGACCTCACAACAATGGGACCCCAGAATTGTTACCCCATAACAATGGGACCCCACAACTGTGACCCCATCACAATGGGGGACCCCACAACAATGGGACCCCATCACAATGGGACCTCAAAGCAATGGGACCCCATAACAATGGACCCCACAATTGTGACCCCATAACAATGGGGGACCCCAAAACTTTGCCCCCATCACAATGGGACCCCGAAACAATGGGACCCCAAAAGAACTGGATATCAAGGCAATGGGACCCCACAACTGTGACCCCATAACAATGGGGGGCCCCATAACAATGGGACCCCATAACAATGGGACCTCAAAGCAGTGGGACCCCATAACAATGGGTCCCCAAAACTGTGACCCCATAACAATGGGACCCCAGAATTGTGATCCTATAACAATTGGGGACCCCATAACAATGGGACCCCACAACTGTGACTCCATCACAATGGGGGGCCCCATAACAATGGGACCCCACAACAATGGGACCCCATAACAATGGGACCCCAAAACTGTGACCCCATAACAATGGGGGGCCCCATAACAATGGTACCCCACAACTGTGACCCCATAAGAATGGGACCCCATAACAATGGGACCCCAAAAGAACGGGACCTCAAAGCAATGGGACCCCATCACAATGGGACCCCCCACATCTATGGGACCCCAAAACAATGGGACCCCAAAACTGGGACCCCATAACAATGGCACCCCCCAACAATGGGACCCCATCACAATGGGACCCCAAAACAATGGGACTCCAAAACTGGGACCCCATAACAATGGCAACCCCCCAACAATGGGACCCCATAACAATGGGACCCCAAAACTGTGACCCCCCAACAATGGGACCCCATCACAATGGGACCCCGAAACAATGGGACCCCACAACAATATGACCCCAAAACTGTGACTCCCCAACAATGGGATCCCATAACAATGGGACCCCACAACAATATGACCCCAAAACTGTGACCCCACAACAATGGGACCCCATCACAATGGGACCCCAAAACTGTGACCCCACAACAATGGGACCCCATAACAATGGGACCCCAAAAGAACGGGATATCAAAGCAATGGGACCCCAAAACTGTGACCCCCCAACAATGGGACCCCACAACAATGGGACCCCACAACAATATGACCCCAAAACTGTGACCCCACAACAATGGGACCCCATAACAATGGGACCCCACAACTGTGACCCCATAACAATGGGGGGCCCCATCACAATGGGACCCCAAAGCTGTGACCCCACATCGATGCCCCCCCCAAGACGCGGCCCCGCCCACCCCGCAGCGCAGCGCGGTGCCCCCGAACCCCCCCAGGACCCCCCCAGTGGCCCCCCCCTCCTTCCCCCCCCCCCATTGTCCGCTATGGGGACGGGCGGGGGGCTCGTCCGGGGGGAGGGGACACCAGTGACCGGGGGGGGGGGGGGGCGTAAGTGACGTGGGGGCCACGTGGGGGGGCACGAGGGACAATGGGGGGGACATGGGGGGGACAATAGGGACATGGGGGGGGACATGGGGGGGACGTAAGGAACGATGAGGGGGGGACGTGGGGGTACAAGGGACAATGGGGGGACGTGGGGGGGGGCACAAGGGGCCATGGGGGGGGATATGGGGGGGACATTGGGGGACAAGGGACAATGGGGGGACGTGGGGGGGGACACGGGGGGGCACGAGGGACATTTGGGGGGGCGTGGGGGTGAGGGGGGACAATAGGGACGGGGGGGGGACATGGGGGGACATGGGGGGACATGGGGGGACGTAAGGAACGATGAGGGGGGGGGATGTGGGTTACAAGGGACAATGGGGGGACTTGGGGGGGGGACACGGGGGGGGGACACGGGGGGGCACGAGGGACATTGGGGGAGGCGTGGGGGTGAGGGGGGACAATGGGGGGGGGCAGAAGGGGCCATGGAGGGGATATGGGGGGGACATAAGGAACGATGGGGGGGGGATGTGATGGTACAAGGGACAATGGGGGGACTTGGGGGGGGACACGGGGGGGCACGAGGGACATTTGGGGGGGGTCATGGGGGTGAGGGGGGACAATAGAGGCGTGGGGGGGGGCACAAGGGGCCATGGGGGGGATATGGGGGGACATAAGGAACGATAAGGGGGGGACATGGGGGTGCAAGGGACAATGGGGGGACGTGGGGGGGGACACGGGGGGGCACGAGGGACATTGGGGGGGGGCGTGGGGTGCGGGGGGACAATAGGGACGTGGGGGGGGGGGGGCACAAGGGGCCATGGGGGGGATGTGGGGGGGGGACATTGGGGTACAAGGGACAATGGGGGGACGTGGGGGGGGACGCAGGGGGACAATGGGAGGTTATGGGAAGACATGGGGGACGTGGGGGGGGGCACAAAGGACAATGGGGGGGGAGTGGGGGGACACGGGGGGGACATGGGGGGGACATGGGACAATAAAGGACAATGGGGGATGGAGGGGACATAAGTGATGTGGGGGGGGAGCGTGGGGGGACATGGGGGGGGGGGGCACAAGGGGCAATGGGGGGCATAAGGGACAATCGGGGGCACAAGGGGTCCGGGGGGGGGGCATGAGAGAAGTGGGGGGACATAGGTGGGACAAGGGGGGGGGACATGGAGGGGACACGGGGGGGGGGCACGGGGGATAACGGGGGGGACGTGGGAGGGACATAAGGGACAATGGGGCGACATAGGGGGACACAGTGGGGGGGGTGGGGCGTGAGGGATGTTGGGGGGGACATCGAGGGGACGTTGAGGGGACTTGGGGGGGGGGGCATTGGGGGCGATATGAGGGGGACACTGGGGGACACCGAGGGGACACCGGGGGGACAAAAAGGGACAGTGGGAATGGGGGAGGGTTTGGGGCGCGGGGGGGGCGCCATGAGGGACATGGGGGGGGGGGGGGACAGGGGACATGGGGGGTTGGTGACATCAGCGACACGAGGCCGGGGGGGGGGGGGTGTCCCCGTGGTCCCCCTTTGTCACTGTGTGTCATGTCGTGTCCCCCCCCCCCCCCCCGGCCCTGGAAGCTTCCAGCGACAAGTGGGGGGGGGGGGGGTCTAAAAATACCCTACAGTGTCACCGTGTGTCACCGTGAGCGTGGTGTCACCGCCTGGAATAGCAGCGGAGGGGGGGGGGGACATGGGGGGTGGCGGTGGGACGGGGGGGGGGACATTTGTGGGGTGTGAGTGACACTCGTGGGGGACAGAGGGGTGGGGACACCCATAGGGGCATGGGGACACCCATAGGGATGTGGGGACGTGGGTGGCACCAGTGGGGACAGGGACATGGGGACACCCATAGCGGCATGGGGACATGGGTGGCATCGATGGGGACAGGGACATGGGGACACCCATAGGGACATGGGGACACCCAGAGGGGCATGGGGACGTGGGTGGCATCGACGGGGACAGGGACATGGGGACACCATTAGGGACATGGGGACGTGGGTGGCATCAGTGAGGACAGGGACATGGGGACACCCATAGGGACATGGGGACGTGGTTGGCATCGATGGGGACAGGGACATGGGGACACCCATAGGGACATGGGGACGTGGGTGGCATCAGTGAGGACAGGGACATGGGGACACCCATAGGGACATGGGGACGTGGTTGGCATCGATGGGGACAGGGACATGGGGACACCCATAGGGACATGGGGACGTGGGTGGCATCAGTGAGGACAGGGACATGGGGACACCCATAGGGATGTGGGGACGTGGGTGGCACCAGTGGGGACAGGGACATGGGGACACCCATAGGGGCATGGGGACGTGGGTGGCACCAGTGGGGACAGGGACGTGGGGACACCCATAGGGATGTGGGGACGTGGGTGGCACCAGGGGGGACAGGGACATGGGGACACCCATAGGGATGTGGGGACGTGGGTGGCACCAGGGGGGACAGGGACATGGGGACACCCATAGGGGCATGGGGACGTGGGTGGCACCAGTGGGGACAGGGACATGGGGACACCCATAGGGACATGGGGACGTGGGTGGCATCGATGGGGACAGGGACATGGGGACACCCATAGGGATGTGGGGACGTGGGTGGCACCAGTGGGGACAGGGACATGGGGACACCATAGGGACATGGAGACACCCATAGGGGCATGGGGACGTGGGTGGCACCAGTGGGGACAGGGACGTGGGGACACCCATAGGGATGTGGGGACGTGGGTGGCACCAGGGGGGACAGGGACATGGGGACACCCATAGGGATGTGGGGACGTGGGTGGCACCAGGGGGGACAGGGACATGGGGACACCCATAGGGGCATGGG